GGGTTTGGGCTGTTATTACTTTTCTTCTTCATGTAAAAAGGCGAGCTGGTATATAAATCGTTGCTTAGTCATCTGGAACATAATGTGGCCCTTCCCCACCTCTCTCTCCCCTGGCTCCCACCCCCTCCCATCCAGCTCTGCCTGCTGGCTTCACATGTCTGAAACAACTGCCTTGAGAGTCCCTTCAATAATAAATGGAATTGCCTTCTGCCTATAGGTTGCCTGAACTCACACAAAAGCTGGCGTGGAGGGGGATGGGGCAGTGGGAGGCATTGCAACTATTGATACATCATTATAAAGAAGTCGCAGTGCTTTTCAATTGTGCCTCTTTAAAGAAACATGCTGCTTTTGCCTTTTTTTTCCCCCCAGAGGGAGCAAAGATACAATTGTTGATCTGAGTCCTGCCCCCCAAAGGAGAAGTTCATAAGTGGGCTTTCGAGGTTCCAGGAACCATTAAAGCCCTTTAGGGTTGAAATGTTTTACATCAAATTTCAATGTAGCAACCCTACTTTTTCTTTATCCTTACAAAAGAGGAAAATGAGGTGAGCTTTAAGTGGGAAGTGTTCTGCCAGCAAAAAAAAAAAAATGCCCTTACTTGTTTTTCTGTGCTCCTATTCTCAATTCAATAAATCTGTGAATGAGTGAAATGGGATAGGCTCTTAATACATAATACAAATTAATCATATCAATCATCATGCTCCGCTGTACATATCCCAATCATCGTTCTATTTAGCACACAACACTAGCTTCTCACTCGCCAGCGGCGGATAACCCCCCTGAGGCTAACGCTGAGGCTGTCTTTTCCGAAGCTCTGTCACTATTACAAGGCAGGGCGCCAGGCCCAGCGAGGACTCCCGGGGAGGAGTTGTCCAATTGATAACAGAAAGAATGTCCATCAAATGATCTGTTTTTCCATTCCTAGCCACATGAGAGCACGTTGTCACATGGAATACCATAGTCGGGAGCTGGGGCTCTGGAATCAGACTGTACGGGTTCAAGTTCAACTCTACCACCAACCAGATTGTGACTTTGGGCAAGTCTCTTAGCCTCTTTCAACCTCTGTGACCTCCTTCCTTGACCAAGCAAGAGATGGAAATACACTGACCGTCAGCCCTGACTATGTTATCTCATTATTGTATTGTGATCATGTGTTCATGGCTCTTGACTTTGAACCAAAAAGGGAGAAGCGCCCAAACTCAAAATGAGGTCGGTCATATGTAAAGCTGCCCGTGAGTCATAGAACGGCTGCCTTCCAGGGAAGGAATACAAAAAGGCAGCAGACTGGCTTGGTATTCTCCCACCCCAAACCACATGCTTCCTAGATAGGCCCGGATGACGGTCAGTAGGGCAGCAACGCACAGTAAGACAAATAAGACACATGAAAGAGCCACGTATCTGCCAGTGCCTACCTCAGCCTATGAGACTCTGCTCAGGAATCCTGCAAACACCCCATCCCAAAGCTGTGATAAAACCAAGAGCAGACTCTGACAGCTACTCACTCTTCAATATTTCTGAGCTGGACTTTTTTCTCTTCCAAAATGGGAAAATAGCAAATAATTGACAGGGATAGAATAAGGACTCCATCGCATGTCTTTGGAAGTGCTTTGAGGGAGTTAAAGAGTAGACAAAATCAATGTCATAGCAACGGCCGCAGAACCCTGGACCCAATACATTTGTTAGGCCTTCCTCTTCCATGCCCACTTAAAGGAGCTTCGCTGATTAAAGCACCAACTCCCTGCAAGGGGCCCAGAGTGCTAATATCAAATGAAAGCAGATGTCCTGAGGAAGAGCTGCATGATAAGTAATTTGAGTTGGGGGAAAGATTTATTACCCAAATCATGAATAAACAGAACAGTAAACCCCTGAAAAAAAATTATATACTTTGCTTTTTCTTAATTACCTCTCTGAGATATATATATATATATATATATATATATATATATATATATATACTCTTTAGAATGCCCAAGATTCAACTTGGTATTTTTTTTTTAATGCTTAGGCAAAAATTTTTACTAAAACTATTCCATCAGTCACAACAGCCACTACTTTGGCAAGTTATCAGGCACTCAAAATCCCCCAAATTGCTGCAACGCTAACTAGAAATTGTTACTGTATTTTGAAATCTTTCAGAACATTACGAATTTCCTGGATGACTTATTTTCCTTTATTTACTTTGAAAGTCCAAAAGAACAGGACTCAGTCGAGATATATAGCCTGCTATATGCCTACACTGTGCGGCAGATACGGTTATTTAACAGAGGACCAAAGCCTAGAGGATTTCTGCCTTTTGTACCACGGGTGCCATAATGAAGTGGTGAAAATTGAAAAGGAACGAGGAGAAAAGAAATGCAGTACAAATAATACAGTAGAGAAAGTTTTAAAATATGTATTACTGCTGTCTGTGGGGAAAACACCTCTTTGGATATGTTCTTGACAGATTGAGTTATTTCTGTCTATTGGGTATGTATAAAGACATATTTATGGATTTATAAATCTTTTGAAGAGGGTTGTTATTTACCCAGTTGACTAAAATGGACTCAAACTGTGTAAATAACTGTTTAGGACATGCACTACGGGCCAAATGCTGGCACGGCTTCCACACCCGTGCCTGCCAGAAAAGGCAGACAGGGAAAACATGGAAAAGCCACTGTGCACAGTTAATCCGCAGGCTGCACTGAGGCCCAGCTCCACAGGTCTCGGGGATGAAAAAAAGATTTAGAAGGGTCATGGTTGGCATGGAAATGTACAGAAGTTGTTGCAGCAACACTTCTAGGCGTCGTTCTGCATTTAGCAAGGAATAAATCACACTGCCAAAGACAGCCCACGGGGAGGGCTGAAGGTGGGACTCCTGACACCTATATTATCAAGCAGGTGGGGGAGAGGAAGGGGAAGTCAGGAGGGAATGTTTCTATTTGACCTTGGTGGAGGGGACTGACTCTAGTTCTTTGGTGGAGAACCAGGGAAAGAGAGCACGAAGACATGAATCTTAGACAAATAATCAGGAAACCAAAATTTTAGGTCTGACACCACACGGGGACCTCAACAAATTCTTCAGCTCACCCATAACCTTTCCCCCTCATCTGTCCAGTGGGGCCGGACCTGTTTTTATCTGCCACCCAGGACTGTTTCAGAAAGGGTCAACTGAGACCATTCCAAGGAGATGATGTATGTAAAAAATGCTTTTTAAAAAAAACCCGAGGTGGTGGTCTTTTATGAAAATGATAACGAGAAACAATGTAAGTGGAAAACTCGAGCAATGTCAAGGATCTCTAGCTCTTGGTCACAATCAAGTTCATCACCAAATGGGCCTTTGGAGAGCACTGTTGAAGGGAAAAGGGACATGCAAAACTCCCAGCTCCTTGTTATGACATGTCAGCGGGGAAGACTCGGGTGGGGCATGTGCCCTCTGAAAACCCTTTTATCGGATTGCGTTGAAGGAAACGTAGTCTGTTATAACTTTCGATTCAAGCACGTGTTAGCTGTTCCCAAACCTTCAATGCAGCAGCAGCTTGACTACCTGCGTGCTCGTGGATGACAGATATTTGAAAAGCCAGAAGTGAAGACAGAAAAAGAAACCCAAACGAAAGCACTGGGCTATGACCCCGTGTAGCAATTTTGGAGAACAGGATAAAGAACTGCGACTCCATCCCCACCTTTTGGGGGGCGCCTGGTGTAAGATGAATTCTGAAAGCAGGGCTCTCTGTGGCCAGTGCTGACGTCACCCTCTCTATCGCACTGTGAGCCGCGGCACCACAACATGCAGACACAAACCCCCCCACCCCCCTACCCCCCCAGAGAAAAAAGGCCCCATGGATTTGTGCTGCATATCGTTTTGCAGTAAAAGTCAGAGGGCCGAGGTCACCTCTTTCTGCCTCAGCTCCGAACCAGCTTACTATTCCGGGCTCCATTTTTACTAGCCTGAGAGTTGTGATGAAGTCAGCAACTTCGCTTTGAACTAGAAAATGTCTCAGATGCCTAAAAGAAAAAGTGACTCCCAGTCCAAATAGCATACATGTGCCTACAAAAAAATTAACTTTCCTGTTTTTGTTTTCAAACTCATCATGCTAACCTCACTGTGGACTGCAGTGCTAATTGGAAGAGAGCGTTAAAGTTAGAAAACAAAACTCTTTTGCGGGCTAACAGCACTCCAATGACATGTGATCATCAAAGCCGATTGTAAAGTATGTGCCTACTGTGGGCTCAGTCAACCTCAATACAGCTGTCTTTACAGATTCGGATAGAGGGGACTCCTTTAAACTTTGGTTGCATTCATTGGACTCAAAAGCCAGTGCCGCTGGTCTCATCAAAATCAGTGCAAGACATCGGAATACTCCTCCACCTTCTTGCTGAAGATTAGCTTCAGGTTAAAGCTTCATCTCCTACTTAGTTATGGTCAGATCAGTACATCCATGGGTACGGGTATTCAGAGAGCAACACAAATCAAAGTGAGCTGATTTCTTTCCCTTTCTTCCTAATTGCCTGTAGTCTGGCCTTGCAATAAAGTCAAGCACTTAAGAGATTCAGATAAGTAAGTTCAGAAAAATGGCTTCAACCCAGTGGAGAGGGACACCCAACATGGGTTTCTGAAAGGCCCACCGCCTTCTAAGCATTTTACGACATTGCTAACTTGGAAATCCTCTAAGGGCAAATGATAATAATAATAATAATAATAATAATAATAATAATAATATATTTGTATAGCACAGTATTAGTAGCATACTGTCCACATACATTCCAACTTTTACTACTCCAGTCTTGCCCTCAGTTGATTCACCGGCCCTGTTTGATGGAGGTGCCCGGGTGGCAGGCAGGCAGCTGGCCTGGCACAGAAGAATGAAAGGACAGGGGCATACAATAAGATGAGCGGATTCTTGTATTACATGGGGTTTATGTTCTAGGAAAAGCTGTATCATAGTCACCAACTAGACTATTCTGATTTTTCAACCCTTAAACATGAAACACATAGCAAAGGAGAATGAGGAGAACAGCTGTCCTAC